TGCCCCACCGCGGCCCCGGGCTCACCACACTCCGGGGACTCGTCGGAGCCGTCAGCGCAGTCCCGGTCGTGGTCGCACACAAAGTGCTTGGGGATGCACTGGCGGTTCTGGCACATGAACTCCCGGTCGTCGCAGGTGCTGTTGTACACTGCGGACGGAGGACAGCCCTCAGCCCCGGCCAGAGGCCGCCCGCCACCCAGACCTTCCTGCGGTCTCAGTGGCAGAACGGGCAGAGCACGGGACGGGGTCCGGACGCCCGGGCTGGAGACGGGCTCTGCCGCGGACCCCTGAGTGACCCCTGCTGCAGCGCTTCCTCTTCTGGACCTCAGTTTCCCCTGTGCAAGTGAGACCGTGGCTACTTGCTGCCCACCCCTCCTCACCACCCACCCCGCCACTCACGGCAGCCGGCGGCCACGCTCTCGTCGGCGCCGTCGGCACAGTCCTTGTCGCCATCACAGAGCCAGCGCTCGGGGACACACACATGGGTGCCCGGGCAGGAGAAGGAGTTGGGGCCGCACGTCTTGCCCTCTGTGGAGGGAACAGGGAGCTGCTGAGGCCGGGAGCAGGCAGGGCAGGGCGTGGGTGGATGGTGGGGTGGGCACCTGTGGCCCCAGCCCCCCTCTCCACAGGGAGCCCCCCTCCCCACAGTGAGCCCCCCTCCCCACAGAGAGCCCCCCTCACCACAGTGAGCCCCCCTCACCACAGTGAGCCGCCTCGTCCGAGCCGTCCCCGCAGTCGTCGCTGCCGTCACACAGCCACTGCTTGGAGATGCAGCGATGGTTCTGGCACTCAAACTGGGCCTCGGAGCAGAACTTGTCTGGGGCAGTCAAAAGCCTCAGTTAGATGGGGAGGGAGGAGGGGGGAGGGGAGACCACGGCACCCCTCTGTGGGGCCCAGCAGGACTGGAGAGGTGACCCCCTCTCTTCAGGGTCTGGGTGGGGGCTCGGGGTGAAGGCCCCAGGTGCCTCCCCCCAGGAGGGCACTTCTGGTGGAAGCCGAGAGCAGGGCCGGGACGGGGTCCTAGCGGCTGTGGGAGAGCCCTGGCCCCTCAGGTCCTCGGCTCCCGGCTTAGGGGCGGGTGCTGGTCACTCACTGCAGTGGGTCTCATCCTCCCCATGTTCACAGTCGTCCTCCTTGTCACATGTCCAGCTCATGGGGATGCAGCGCCCACTGGGGCAGGCGAAGTAATTCAGGGGGCACCTGGGGCGCTTCACACCTGGGGGCGGGAAGTCGGACCTGGGCAGTCCCGCTCGTCGCTGTAGTCCCCGCAGTCGTTGGCGCCGTCGCACACCCAGCTGGGCGCGTAGCAGAGGGAGGTGTGCTCGCAGGGCTGGAAGTGCACGCCCTTCACCCCCAGGCGGAAGTAGCTGCTGCAGTCGGTGGCGCCTGGTGGGGGGCGGGGGTGAGGGGTGACACCAGTTCCCTCCAAACACCCTCCCAGGCAGCAGCCGGCCATGCGGGCCTTGGTGCGTTTTGGAAAGTTGGACAGGTGTCCCTGAGGGGGGTGCTGCCCACACCTTCCACTCACTGCCCCTCCCTGAATCCCAGGGAGCTCGGCCTGGAGGCAGGGAGCAGGCCGGGGGGGATACAGGCCGCCTGTGGGCCAGAGGGAGGACGGGGGAGCAAGGCAGGAGCCAGGGCGGCCCCAGGAAGGGCACCACTCACTGCAGTTCATCTCGTCGGAGGCGTCGTCACAGTCCACGAACTGGTTGCAGCGGCTGGAGTTCCCGATGCAGGTGCCGTCCCGGCAGCGGAACTCGCCGGCACCGCAGGCCGTCTCTAGAACAGGGGCCACCGGTGCCATCAGGCGAGGTCCTCCCTGGGGGGCCAGGCCGGCCCAGGCCCAAGCCCTGTTCACAGAGTGGCCTGAACCAGACCCCCGGGGCTGGGACCCAAAGCTCGGCAAGGTGGGGTGGGGCAGAGGTCGGGGGCCGGGGGCCGGGCACAGCGTCCCACTCACTGTTGCAGGGAATCTCGTCGGAGCCGTCCCCACAGTCATCTGCCCCGTTGCACCACAGTATGTTGGACACGCACCGCCCGTTGTTGCACTGGCGGAAAGTCTTCTTGCAGCGGCGCGAGCCTGCGGGTGGGAGCAGGCAGCGGTCAGCAGCAGCTACAGCGGAGGGGCTGCCTCTGCGTCTGATGAGCTGCCCTGCACTCATTCCCTGGACACAATGCAGCCCTGCTACAGGCCTGCCTGGCACAGGGCTCGGGTGGTTCTGCAAAACGCCGCTGGGCCCTGGGGCTTTTGCTCCCTCACTCCCGAGTCTGGAGTGGAGGCAGGTGCCTGGAGGCCAGAGGTCTGGGGAGTGGCTCCTTAGGCTGGAGTGGAGGCTGGTGCCTGGGGCAGGGGTCTGGGGAGTGGCTCCTGAGGCTGGAGTGGAGGCTGGTGCCTGGAGGCCAGGGGTCTGGGGAGTGGCTCCTTACTGCAGTAGGACGGCTTCTCGTCGGACTTGTCCTTGCAGTGGGAGACGCCATCGCACGTCAGGCTGAAGTGGATGCACTCGCCGTTGGCGCACTCGAACTCGTCTTGTATTCGGCACGAGGAATTCACCGCTGGGGAGGGAGGCGGGGAGCTTCATGAGCCAGGGCCCCGGCAGCATCCCTCTCCCCACCCAGCATAAGGGCATCCTGTTTCTCCTCGGTGAAAGGCTGGGCTATCGGGGGGCCAGGGAGGGGCTGGTCCCCAGGGTGCACCCCGGTCCCCTCCAGCACCCTCCTCCCTCAGGCGCCTCACCCCGGCAGGTGAGGTCCTCCTGGAGGATGCGGCCCGCTCGGCAGGAGCAGTTGACGTGGCCTTGGTGGGTGAGCAGACACAGGTCCTGGCAGCCCTCGTTGTTGATGCGACAGGGGGAGAGCTCACCTGAGGCCGGGACGGGGGGCAGTGGGCTTGAGTGCACAGACGGGATGCACACCCACTCCCCCAGCTTCCCTGAGCTCCCGGCACTGGCCGTGGCAGGCGTGTGGTGGGGGGCCGGGTGGGGTGTTTGGGGTGCCTGAGATGGAGGGTGTGCTCTTAGGTGGGGGTCATATGGAATTCCAGGTGTGCTTTGGGGCGAGTCAAGTCTAAGCAGAGTTCAGATCATGTGTAATGGTGGGGGCCCCAGGGCCTGTGTGAGAGGCCCAGGAAAGCTGCAGTCTGTGTGGGGGACACTCAGTCAGCCAAGCCCAGTGAGGGGGGCGGTGTCTGCACACGATGCAGCTGGTGGTGCAGGCAGAGCCTGGGCTGAGAGCGTGCGATCAGCTTCCGGGGGATTCGCGGTTCTGGGCGGGAGGAATGACAAGAGCATGTGCTGGAGGTCCACGGAGTCAGATGAGACAGAGGAGGGTGGCAGGAGTGTGTGTGAGTGTGTGAGTGTGCATGTGTGTGCATGTGTGTGCACGCTGGCAGGACGGGCAGGACAGCACGGCTGGTGCAGCGGCCCCACTCACAGCTGTTGGTGTCATTGGCCACCGCGATGATGCCCATGGGCTGCTGGGGGATGTCCACGCGCAGCAGCTTCATGTCGCTGCCCACGTACTTGTTGGCTCGCTGCACAGCCCGCCGCACCCAGTCCGTCCAGAAGATGTGCTCCCCGTACACGGCCAACCCGAAGGGGTGGACTGGCTCCGACTTCAGGATCACCTGCGGAAACAGCGCCATTGCCGTCCCAGCATCGCGTGGGCCTCTCGCCGACTCCACCCCCTGCAGCAGGCGCCTGGCCTAGGCCCCTAGACAGTCACAGAGTGGGAGGGACCTGCAGAGGCATCGTGCCACCTCCCTCACTGAATCGATGGGGAAGCCACGCCTGGAAGGTGAGGGCTGCGCAGCTGCACAGCTAAGTGGCAATGTCAGGGCCTGGATGGGGCGCCTCGGGCCCTCCTGGTTCTTCCTACCACCGGACGGCCTTAAATTATGTAGGTGATGCCTGAGGAATTTATGAGGGCAGGATCCAGGCATCCCCAGGACCTAGGACAAAGGACTAGGACTCCCCTGTCTGTTCTGCCCTTCCCTGGCCTTCCCACCCCCAGGCCCTGGGCCAACCCACCTCCCTGACGCTCCCTCTCTGCGACTCTGCGCCTGGCGTCCTCCTCAGCTGACCGGCCACCCCCGACCCAGCCCCCTCGTGCCGCCGTCCATCCGCCTGCCCCGGAGACTCACGTAGCGGTGGGAGCCATCATACTCGCACCGCTCGATCTTGTCCAGGGTGGCGTCGGAGAAGTAGAGCTTCTCCGCACGGTGGTCGATGGCCAGGCCGTTGGGGGTGCGGATGTCCTTCTCGATGAGAGTCAGGGCATTGGCTCCAGACAGGGCCGCTCGCATGATGCTGGGGTGCTGCTCGTTCCAGTTGGTCCAGAACATCAGGCTGCGGGGAGAGAGAGCCTCAGGGGACAGGAGTCAAGGCCAAGGGGTCCGCCACGGAGGGCCCAGGCCGGCCAGGGACTGGACCAGACCCCAGGCCCCAGGCAAGCTCCGAGCTGCTAAGGCCACACAGCCCCGGTGCCGGGAAGGGCCCGGCCATCTGCATCTCCTAAGACAGTGTAGCCAAGTGAGTTGGGCTCTGGGGCTCCAGGCCTGGCCCCACCACTTGCCAGCCAGGGACCTCACCACGTTACGTAACCTCTCCATGCCTCAGTTTCCCCCTCTATGACGTGGGGAACTACTCTCTGTCCCACAGGGTGGTTTGAGGGTTGAACGAGTTAGCATCCACCTGGACCACAGCCCTGTATTTTCTATTATTTTATTAATGCTCTCTTCTCCCTGCATGCAGGAGACCCTTGCTGAGTGTCTGCTCTGTCCTAGGTCCTGGGGATGCATGGATCCTGCCCTCACAAAGTCCTCAGGAATCACCTACATAACTTAAGGCCTTTGCATATTTGCGGTCTGAGCCCCTGAACGAGCCTCTGGGCCTGCTCTCCATAAAGGAGGTGGTGGGAGGGCCAGCGCGCCGTGCTCCCCTCCGGGGCGGCAAGGCCCCGCGGTGGGTGTGCAAGACCTCAGGCTGGTCGAGCACCACAGTGTGTGAGGGTGTGGTCCTCACATCACCTGCACTGGGTCGTGACTCCGGGTTCTCGGTCTCAGAGATTCACTTAATTAGGCCTGGGGTGGAGCCGGGAACCAGCCATCCCCAGGCCAGCCTCACGCACCCTGGGGTTCTGGGGTCTGCGAACCGCTGAGCTGCACGGGAGTCAGTTCCGTTCTCCAGTTTTTTTCAGAGGATCTGCCATCCCCGCCCCCAGTACCTCTGCACCCCTCCCCCTGCCCCTCTGATGTTCTGGCCACAGAGCTGTCCTCGGCCAGTGGACTTGTCTGGCTTGTGTTCTGGACTCCTTTGCAACCTCAGCACCACCCCACCCCCCTCCGTGGGAACCTTTGGATTAGGCGTGGGAGGCCCCCTTTCACCCCTCCCTACCTGGGGCTCTCCCTCCTCCAGCTCTTTCTCAAAGCACTCCCGTCTGTTCTGCCCTTCCCTGGCCTTCCCACCCCCAGGCCCTGGGCCAACCCGCCTCCCTGATGCCTCAGCGATCACAATGGCCCTGAGCCATCATGCTTCCCGCCATGACTTCTCTCCCAGCTGGTGGCTTGAACAAGCCCAGCTCAAGGGGTGCACACAACAGGTGGGTTCAGCGGACAATCTTTGCCTGAAGCGTGAAGTCCCAGAAATACACAGGACCTACTATGTGCCTCAAACGTGGCTCACTGATGAATGAACGGACTGATCCCCAAGCCAGAAGGTCCTCCGCAGCCCCCTTTCTGATCCTCGCCTCGGCTCAGGCACCCGAAATACTATGATGCTCACATTACAGGAGAGGAAACCGAAGCTCAGAGAGGTCATGTAGCTGGTCCGAGGTCACACAGCAAGGAAGCCGCTGAGCTGAGGTTAGAGCCAGCCTCTCCCACATGCCCTGCCTGGGTCTGCTTGGGTGGTTTCTACTCCCTAGACCCCCGCCCCGCCATGGCCCATGCCGCCCGAGCCCTCAGCTCACTTCTGGCACTCATCCAGCACAAAGGCCCGTGGGTGGTCATCTCCAGACATGGTGATAACCGTCTCACGCTCGAAGGCCCCTACGCGGGTCTGGTCCACCGTGTGGCGGGTGATGGTGGATGTCGTGTAGCTTGTCCAGTAGAGAGTGTCCCAGGCACGGTGATAGGCCAGGCCTTCCACGGAGCCCACATCTACGAGAAGGAAGGAGCAGCCGGGGTTGGGATGGGGCCAGAAAGCAGGGCTGAAGGGACGGCCTGGGCAGGAGCTAAGGGGGCAGCCTCAGGCACCCCCTTCCTGAGCCATGTGGGGTTGGAAGAGATGTGTGGGAGCTGGGAAGCTGGGGGGGACACAGCCCTCGGTGCCCCCAAGCCCTGTGGTATTACCCTGTTTCCCACCCAATGACCCACGGCCCAGCTCCTGGCCCTCTTCCTGCGTCTCCCCGTGTGGGTAGACAGGACTTTATGTTGCCGCCATACCCCCCGGAGCTAGAGTTCTGCCGTGTTGGGTGCGAACGGGATTTACTGGGAGCTTCCTGCTTAAAAAGACCCTGAGCCAGATGTGTTGTAAACATCTTCAACTGAAGTTAAAGAACTGAGTGCACAGTGAGAGACAGGTACCGCCTCTGAGAGAAAAAGACTCAGGGTTCAGTGGCTTCACGCTGTGGGACCGCGGCTGCCAGAGGCGGCCGTAGTGGAAGCACGGTAGCCTGGACAGTGGCCGAGGGCGGGGCCGCTCCGCAGCCTCTCTGGTCCAGCCCAGACGGCAGAGGGTCATGTTCAGTTTGGACGCTCCATGTTTAGACAGGCGTGTGGACTGGACCACGTGAAGCAGAAAACTTCCAGAGGCGGCTGAGAGGACAGCCCGTTGCTATCACCCCTGTAGACCCGGCCCCGGTTCACGGTCTGGTTGGATGAATGAACACATGACCACGTGAATGTGTCTAAGGACCCGGGTACCCAGCCTGGAGAAGACAGGACGCAGGGGAACAAACAGTTTCCACAGAGCGGGAAGGCTGTCCCAGGACGACGGCTCCAGCGCCCACGGCCCTTCCTGGCCCGTCCTGTGCTGAGCTGAGCTGAGCTCTCACACCGGCCGCCTCTGCGCTCCTGTCTCTACACAGACAGGAAGTCGGAGGCTCGGGGAGCACAGGAAACGTGCCCAGGTGACTGACATCCTGTGTCTGGGCGTGAACCCGTGAGCACCGGACACACAGAGGGGAGCTGGGGCTACCTGGGCAGCCTGGGGGCGAACCAGGACCAGCGGGGAAGTGAGAGGGGAGCCAACTCAGCCTCCAGAGAAGGAGAAACGTTCCAATAGCTACAGCAGGCATAGCGTGATCCGATGGCCCCCTGTCAGGG